GTGTTTCTACATCGTGAGAAATATGAAATTGAAGAGTGAACATTTGGTAAGATTTTTTAGATGTCTAGATGTTTAGCCTGAAACATAGAAGATTATATCACTTTCAGTAACTGGTTTGTAATATCAGATGAGAGTGATTTCTTTCTACTTTTAGTGTAGTAGCTTTTGGCTTTTGGCACCTATATACTAGGAGTAAAAATATTATCCACTGAAATATATTCTTACTCTTTAATGTTCTAGGAATTAGGGTGTCCGTTTCAAGGAGAAAGAGGGTAAAACATTTGGGGAGTATTTCCTTTCCTTTTTCATTTTGATACTGGGCAGTTTCACATTTCTATATCTGGAAAGGCCTTTGTGTTTTAAACCAACCGGAACAATTTGTAAAGTTCATTTAGGGAAAAATCTACAGATGTAAAGAAACACCCGTTGTTAAATTACGCTTTATCACTGGGCCCAAAACTCACCCTCTATAATTACTTGTGAAAGTCTGTATTTATGACAGTAATTTACAATACTTCTAGTTTAGGCACAACAACACAACCAGTACTTGACACCGTAAATTTGCAGGGCTCGTATGTTCCGACCTTTAGAAATTATCGCTGGGTAAGGAGTTATTCTTGGTACAAGGTGAGAGGCTAGTCTTCCCTTGCCCGGTTCTGTATCCCCAACAGTCTTGGATGTTGTCTGGGTGCCTGCTTACCTGGCACCCCTTAGCAGGACGTTATGCGTTGCTCAGGTGTGTGGGCACCACGGGTGTGTCCCACTCACTGCTTCATTCAATGGCTTCCGTCTCCCCTTTGAGTACAGTATAAACAGTGCTGAGCTCAGTTGGTTGGAATGTTCTGAATTTGTAGATTTGATTCCTGTGACATCCGGTTAGATTTTCTCACTTTTTGGCCGTAGCCTGCCCACCCCTTTGGAGAGGCTGATCAGCCCAGAAATCTTCAGAGAGAAAGTGTGGGTGAATCAGCACAATCCACCACACTCTCTGAGAAGTCACCAGGAGCTCTTGCTGCACCGGGGATGTCACAGTGGCAGGTGCAAAGGGTAGCACAAGAAAATATGAAAGAGGCCTCATGCAGTCTAGGGGTTCACAATTGGTAAACAAGCTGCCAATCATAGAGGATTCTACTGTGGCCTGCTCTGCAGATCCGGAAACTAGCTTCCAAAGTTAAATTTTGTATTGCCTGATTTAGAGTCCTGCCGTCCAGTATCCAGTTGATTGGGACAGTATGTCCTTTACCATCTTGAAAAAAATACTACATTTTCATAATGTTAGATACGTCAGATTAGCCAGAACATCATTTCTTAGTTCCCTTTTGGCTAAACTTCTGCCCTTTGAGTCACTTTCTTCTGGCGTCTAAAGCATTCTGTGGAAGACTAAGCTTGGTAATAGAGCTCGAAGCATTTTCCCCAAATGTCTTCGGTGTTTGCAGCTCATCCAGAGTGGGGAAAAGTTACCTTTTAAAGTGGGAAGGTATTTTTAGGTTCACACATTTCTTTTAAAAATATCACAATCAGAGCTTTTTAGCTGTATTTACATACGTTTTTGTTTCCTAGAAGAACCAGTTGTTCCTTGCTTTAAAAAAAAAACCCAACAACCCACCATCTCCTGTATTGCTATGACACTGTGTATCATATTTCTTTCACTTTTTCATTGTGGTAAAATATACATAACAAAATTTACTATTTTAACCTTTTTTTAGGGACACAATGTAGTGGCTTTAAGTATTTTCATAATGTTGTGTGGCCATCACCACTTTCCATTTTCAGAACTTTTCCATCATCCCTAACTGAAACTCAGTACCCATTAGACAGTGAGTCCCCCTTACCCCCTGCCCTAGCCCCTGGGAATACCATTTTACTTTCTGTCACTATGAGTTTGCCTATTCTAGGTACGTTATATAAGTGGAATCATAGATATTTGTCCTTTTGTGTCTGCCTTACTTCACTTAGCATGATTCATCCACATTGTAGCATGTGTGAGAATTTCATTCCTTTTTGAGGCTGAATAATATTCCATTATATGAATGGACCACATGTTGTTTATCCATTCATCCATCATTTTTTTTTTTTTTTTTTTTTTTTTGGTGTTTTTGGGGCTCTTTCTTTTTTTCCTCTCCTGTTTTGGAGCACAGGCTCCAGATGCGCAGGCCCAGCGGCCATGGCTCACAGGCCCAACCGCTCCGCGGCATGTGGGATCTTCCCGGACCGGGGCACGAACCCGTGTCCCCTGCATCGGCAGGCGGACTCTCAACCACTGCGCCACCAGGGAAGCCCCCGTCATCCATCTTTGATGGACACTTGGTTGCTTCCACTCTTTGGCTCTTGTGGATAATGCTGCTATGAACATTCGTGTTCCATGTGTGCAGATTTGCTGCTTAGCAAATTCTGCCTGGTTGTGTTTGCTTTCCCCCTTGCACATGCGTCTTATTTCCCCAACTTGGTAATAAATTCCACAAGTTAGGGGCCAGTCTTATACATCCTGGTATTTTCCACCCTTTATTCTGTTTTCCTCAGTGGCTTGCAGGTTACAGCAATACAAGTACTTGATGCTGACAATAATAGATAATGAAAGCAAAAGAAATAAGAAAACTGTTTAGAGGAGCACAGTATTGAAAACATTATTTTATGTCCATATTTTCCCCAGGAGAGTATTTGACTTGTTTTCCCAAGCTCCGCTGAGCAGGGGCCAAGATCCAATTGTATGTTGAGTTCAGTGCTGAGTTAGCATACTGTCACCATCCGCTTACTGTCAAGTGTTTAACGATAGCGTAACACCAAGAGGTAGGCGTGGGGTCCTGAGTCAGGAAAATGTAGGCAGGTCTAGCTGATTAGAATATGAAGATATGGAAGCTTTTCTGTTGCTGTTTTTCTCGTTGGGATCAAGGACAAATACCACATTAACCCAGGGGGTGAAAACTGGGATTCCAGTCCTAGGAAGTTGCAGGAGAGGATATGTCAAATTTCTCTTGCAAAAATAGGTGTTTTGTGCATATCCCAGAGTTGTTACAGAAAGCAGAAATGGCTTCATGTGTGTGGGCTGCAAATGATCCCCACGTGGACACTTGATATTTTGTACCGGAAAAAAGCAGTGTAAATAAAATGCAAATTTGGGACAACTACGAATTTGTATCAGATTTATAATTGAAAGTTTCACTGATACAGTTTAAGAATTTCTTAAAGTATTTATTTATGCCTAGGACATATTTATTGCTTTGTGAAGAATCAAAGTTTTGTTTTTCAATTATAATTAAGGTACATCCCATATTAGAAGAATGCTCATAAATGGGCCTTTGTTTAAGGCTTTTTATTTACTTTTAAAAATAAATTAATTTTCTTTATTTCTGGCTGCGTTGGGTCTTTGTTGCTGCGCGCGGGCTTTCTCTGGTTGCGGCGAGCGGGGGCTACTCTTCATTGCGGTGCGCAGGCTTCTCATTGCGGAGGCTTCTCTTGTTGCGGAGCACGGGCTCTAGGCACGCAGGCTTCAGTAGTTGTGGTTCACGGGCTCCAGAGCGCAGGCTCAATGGTTGTGGCGCACGGGCTTAGTTGTTCCACAGCGCGTGGGATCTTCCCGGACCAGGGATCGAACTCAGGTCCCCTGCATTGGCAGGTGGATTCTTAACCACTGCGCCACCAGGGAAGTCCCTGTTTAAGCGTTTTAAAATGAAAAACAACAACAAATAGGAGGAGATGGATTTTAGAAGCTGCTTTGATGAAATTTCACCAGCTGGCTATCTACACATAATCAAGTGTGCCCACTGAGAAGGCGACAATGAGGCTATTCAGGCAGGGCAGTGGATAAAAATCCACTCGCATATAGCTTGTTAATAAAGAATATGTTTCTTTATTATTAAGATCTCTTAAAACCTACTTCTGCAAGCAGACCAATCTTACTTACTTACTCCTTCCTTCCTTCCTTCCTTCCTTCCTTCCTTCCTTCCTTCCTTCCTTCCTTCCTGCCTGTTTAGCACCGTAATACTAGCCCTTGTGGGGGTGTGATGTCTTAAGTCAAAATGTTAAATTTGCAACTGGTTTACTTCACGGCAAATCTCTGCTTTATTTGGGAAGCTTTTTGTTTTGTTTGGTTTCTCTCTTCTTTTAATATAGTTCAGGAAGGTATCTTGAAGTTCTCTCCATGAACTTTACTAATGAAACAGTTCGCGAAAACCTGTCTGCTTCTTGCAGCCCAGGTCCTGGAGTTATGGACGCACTGCTTCACTGGTGGATCTTGCTCCCTGGCAGTTTCACAAGCCTTCTCCAGCCATTTCCTTCTTTCTCTCTGTAGCCTGTCCCACGTCCAGATTTCACAGCTGGTTTTGCTTACCCTGTAGTGTGGGTTATAGGCAACCAAGTCTGCCAGGACCTTGAGTGGGCTTTTAAGAAAAATTTCAATGTATAGAGGCTGCCTGTTTCACTTTGGCAATCATATTGACTAGTTATTGTACATGGTGTCCTGATGAAACATACTGACGACTAGTTCACAGGACATTTGACACAAAATCTGCCTATGGGAAAATGGATTTAAAATATTAAAATTTCCCACATACGACGGTATATGCGTCGTGCACTGGCTGTTAATGTCCTTGAATGACACCGGCCACCTCATTTGCAGAAGAGGGACCAGAAGACAAGCCTGGGTTCATTTTCCTGTTCTTCCCTGGATGGTGTTTATCCCCAGCCTGGCCCCTATTTAGATTGTTAGCGCTAGACAGCCACATCTGTGGTTGTAGGTATCGTGTTTCCATTCTGTGTTGAAGGCAAGCTTCCCTGCACACACCATTCTGAGAAATCACTCCGATTTCTAGATCTTTATTTTCAGGTATTTTTTCCCCATTTGCCAGTGACACACTGGATATTTTTAAGGCTTGCAGTATGTTATAACCCACAAGGAAGCAGTTCCCCTTGCAGAAAGCCCATGTAGGGCCCTCTCCTGAGCACATCTGTTCCCCTTTACACACACCAGGAAAGGGTTAACCCAGCTGTTCCCTGCTTTTCAGATTTGACTGAAGAACGACTCGGGGACAGCAGCACAGCGGACACCGCTGAGACCTTCAGTGACAAAGATACGGACCAGAGGAGCTCCCCGGACGTGGCCAAAAGTAAGGGCTGCTTCACGCCAGAGAGCCCCGAGATAGTGTCGGTGGACGAAGGGGGGTATGCGGTCCAGAAGAACGGAGGCAGCTCCGAGAGCCGACCCGACAGCCCCAAGTACCCCGGGGAGCAGAATCACCTCCTGATCGAGGGCCCCTCGGGGACCGTGTCTCTGCCCTTCAGCTTGAAAGCCAACAGACCGCCCCTGGAAGTGTTAAAAAAAATATTCCCCAACCAGAAGCCCACGGTGCTGGAGCTGATCCTGAAGGGCTGCGGGGGCGACCTGGTGAGCGCCGTGGAGGTCCTGCTCTCCAGCCGCACCTCCAGCTTGGCCGCGGACCGAACTGCGGCAGAGCCCGAGGGCCTGGTGCTGCCCTCCAGCGGGCACATCTTTGAACACACCTTGAGCTCCTACCCCATCTCCTCTTCCAAATGGTCCGTGGGCTCGGCCTTCAGAGTCCCAGACACGTTGAGGTTTTCCGCCGACTCCAGTAACGTGGTCCCCAACCCCCTGGCCGTGCCCCTGCAGCACCCGTTCCCCCAGCCCCCCCGGTACCCTCTGATGCTGAGGAATACTTTGGCGAGAAACCAGTCGAGCCCCTTTCTTCCCAACGATGTCACCCTGTGGAACACCATGACGTTGCAGCAACAGTACCAGCTGAGGTCCCAGTACGTCAGCCCTTTCCCCACTAACTCTACAAGCGTCTTCAGAAGCTCACCTGTCCTCCCCGCCCGCGTCCCCGAAGACCCTCGGATACCCATCCCTGACGATGGGTGTCCCATCGTGTCAAAGCAGTCCATTTACGCTGAGGACGACTATGATGAGAGGTCTGACTCCTCAGACTCTAGAATACTCAACACTTCATCTTAAAGTGCTACCCGATGGGTGGTGACCAGGTGACATTGTCTGTGCATTTGAACCCTGGCCCCCCCTTGAGGAGAGGCCACATCCTGTGTATACCTTTTCCTTCTGTTTCACAAAGTGACTGTGCTTGATTCTATACCTTAGCAATAAAAACATAACTTATTTAATTTCTTGCACTTCACTGGAAAATGCCAAATAGCTCTGCTCTGTGGCTTTAGTGCTGAATGTTCGTTGTAAAAGAGAATAGTCTTGGGAAAGCCTGGGGCCCATGGAAGATTTATTTGGGGATGTAGAGCTGAAGGTCAGCCTTGCCCCTAAACTCAGCCTGGAATGTTCAATAAAATAGTATACTTGAATGAAATTTTTTTTTTTTTTTTTGCGGTACACGGGCCTCTCCCGTTGCGGAGCACAGGCTGTGGACGCGCAGGCTCAGCGACCATGGCTCACGGGCCCAGCCGCTCCGCGGCATGTGGGATCTTCCCGGACCGGGGCACGAACCCGTGTCCCCTGCATCGGCAGGCGGACTCTCAACCACTGCGCCACCAGAGAAACCCCTTGAATGAAATTTTGTAAAAGAGGATTCCTTAGGATATGTGAAACCTAAAGGCAGTGGTTCGGTTGCAAACGGACTATAAACAGGGACCTTATACTCCTATGCTAAAAATCCTTGCATTTTAAAGAGAGACTGCACTTAATAGAGTGAACTGCTCACATGCTTATTTAAGCTTGGACAGTTTTCAGAGACAAACTCCATTAAGAATTATTCTTTTCACATGGCTGAATCGAAACGTGTAATGTCAATGTAAAGCCAATCACAGCTGTGAACTGCATGAAATGTATTGTGAAATGAACACAAGATTAAGCTTTGTGAGGTTAATGTAGCATGCTAAGGACTCTAGAAAAAAATAAACTAAGGAGATGATCTTGGTTTATGTCATTTCTACTTGTGGAAAGAGGATCTCTAAAAATAGAAACTTGATATAAAAGCTACTTACCAGTGCATGGATCAAGGCTTCAGTTAAATGTGATGTCCCTGAGAAATATGAATGGCAAAGTTTGGGGGCTGCGTTCAGAAAGACAGAATTTATTTTTCAAGAATAGACTTAATTCAGTCCCTCCATCCGTTTATTTGTTTCTTCAACAGATAATTATTGAGTGCCTATTACGTGTAAGAGGATGCTCTTTGTATGTTATTGTCCGAGTTACCTGCCCGTTGAGTCCAAGACAGCAGGGATTATACGATGGAGAATCTCATTAAAAACAAAGTAAAAATGAAAACATCTACAGTGTGGAAAGTAAGCAAAGTGCATAGCACGGTACCTGACACAGAGAAAGTACTCCATCCATGAGAGCAGTTACTCCTGTTAAGTTCAGTATATACTCCTATTTGCATTCAGGATGAAGAAGTGGATTCCCTCATTCTCACTTGGAGAAGATGCCATTCTGGCTTTGGGGGATGACCACAGCAAAACTTCAGGGCTTTTCCCCTTCATTTAAAAAGCATTTTGGGGGGGCTACTGTATATGGCAAACTTCTTGCTCAGGTATTTTTAACAGTGAGTTTTAGAACAACAATGTGCACTGGTGCCCACACCAACCACTTCTTACTCCTTTCTTCAGAATGCTGGAGAGGAAAGATGACTGCCCAGGTCAGACAATAAACTTATGAATGTGGAAGGGAGAGAAAATAAGTGAAAGCCTCTACGTGACAAGGATGCAGAGAGAGCTCCCAGCACAAGAATAAGTCTTGAAGGGATCTTCATTCTGGGAGGAAGAAGGGCAGATCCTCTCGGCCTGAGATGCTCCTCCCTCAGTGGGAACAGGAGCTGATGTCAGCTGCCCACCACCCTTGCATGGGTCCCAGGAGGAAAACATATTTCAAACAAACAAACAAAATCTCATTTTTATTTCTACTGGGCACCTTTGGAAGGAGAAATCACTGAGGGGAAAAATTCCTTATATTAGTTGGACTAATGTGTATCTAGTTGACATGGTTACATACCAGAGTGTTTAAAAGTAAATATGATTTGTTGTTAAGGTTATATTTTAGTGAGGGGCTGGAGAGGAGAATAATGTGACCCCTGATTCTAAAAATACATGTGCAGGACATTTTATATGGTAGTGATGGGCTAATGTCTGGGCCTACCTAGCAAAAATGTATTTTCAAAGGTATCTTCAAAAGTTTATATTTATCTAACAACAATGATAACAGATTCTATATGAGATGACAGTGCTATAAAATCTGTCATATCTTCAGGTTGAGTGACCTGGATTGAGCAAAACGGCTTAAGACACGGTATCCTGACAGTTTGATTTTGCCCACAGATCATCAAAGTCCTTGCCCTCTTTTCCCAATGGCCAGCAAAATGGAACTGCCTATAAGACAGCTTATTTCTGGGCTACTACAGGTATGTTTGATCCTCAGTGTACTTCTGAAGCAAGATATGTTTGTTCCGGTGCGGTAAGTGTGGTACGGGGTCGGAGGGAAAAATTGTGCGTTAAGATCCTATGTCCTGCTTCCTGCATTCAGTTTTGCTTCCTCTGCAGTCCTGACAGCTGAGGCCCCTCTGGTTAAAGTGGCAAAACCTCTTAGATTCTAGCTCAGCTCTCAAAGACCATCCTGCTACGGTTGGCATGTAAGAATTCAAGGGCAATGGACACTCCTCTGCCCATGGGCGCTCAGTCACTCTTTCACAGGAAACTCAACACCTGGATGAAAAGAGGAAAACAACATCAACCGGTTCCTAGTTAAATCCCATCTGTCACGCACAATATCTGGGTCCTCGGCTGTACACTTGCGGTTGAGTCAGGCCAGGCTTATAGAGAGTTAATTCCTATTAAACCACAGTGCCCCTTTCCCCCTGCTAGTCTTACAGTAAATGCTTTGTTCATCTTTGATGTGATGGCGGGTGGGCTGCTCGTGTTGTCCTGCAGCAGTTTGTCTCAAAGTGTGGTCCAGGCACCTGATACTTAGTCTCTAGTTTAGATTCCTGGGCCCCACTTGTTGAGTGCAGAATCCCTGTAGCCTAAGCTCCTACATTTTTACCATCCTCTCCAGGTAATTCTTTTTTATTTATTTATTTATTTATTTTTGGCTGCGTTGGGTCTTTGTTGCTGCGTGCGGTCTTTCTCTAGTTGTGGCGAGCGGGGGCTACTCTCATTGCGGTGCGCGGGCTTCTCATTGCAGTGGCTTCTCTTGTTGCACAGCACGGGCTCTAGGCGCGTGGGCTTCAGTAGTTGTGGCACACGGGCTCAGTAGTTGTGGCGCACGGGCTTAGTTGCTCCACGGCATGTGGGATCTTCCTGGACCAGGGCTCGAACCCGTGTCCCCTGCATTGGCAGGCGGATTCTTAACCACTGCGCCACTGGGGAAGTCCCTCCACGTAATTCTTAAACTCACTAAGATTTGAGACCTGCCTCACTCTGCATCACATCCTTAGGTTTCCTTCTTAGATCTATGCCAAGTAAAAGAGCTGAGGGATACAAACCGTGATGCTGGGGATTTCAAGATCCCCATTCCACTCACATCTACTTTCCTACGGCAAGAGTAAAGTTCACTGTGTACGCAGCCTTAATTCATGCCCTAGAGCCAGTTCAAATAATGGTAGTGTCAGTGTTAATGATTAGATCGAGTACACGTTTGGGATCAGAAATGCCTGTTTCTGGAAGCTTGGGTTTGGTAAAGGACCAGATATTAGCATAAACATGCTATCCTTTCCCCTAAGGGGACTGCTGCCAGTTTTTCAGTTGTTCCGTGATTCCTGGCTTACTCGTGACACCTGGAAATAGGTTTTGCCCTGGAGCTTTGGGTTCTAAGAAATATCAACAAACCTTTCCCTTTCTCCAGCTTTATTGAGATATAATTGACATGTAGCATTGTTAAAGATGTATAATGTGCTGATTTGATATGTGTATATGTTGCAAAATGATTTCCATAATAAGGTTAGTTAACACATCCATCACCTCACATAATTACTTCTTTTTGTGGTTTAAATCTGTTCTCTCAGCAACTTTCAAGTATACAATACAGTATTGTTAACCATAATCACCATACATTAGATCCCCAGGACTTATTCATCTTGTAATTGGAAGTTTGTACACTTTGACCAACATCTCCTCATTTCCCCCACGCTTTAGCCCCTGGCGACCACCAGTCTACTCTCTGTTTCTGTGAGTTTGGCTTTTTTAGATTCCACATATAAGTGAGATCATATATAGTACTTGTCTTTTTGTGGCTGGCTTATTTCACTTAGGATGTAACATTTTCTTTATCTATTTACGCATTGATGGACACTTAGGTTGTTTCCATATGTTGTGAATAATGCTGCAATGTACATGGAGTGCAGATATCTCTTTGAGATAGTATTTTCATTTTCTTCGGATATATTCCCAGAATTGGAATTGTTGGATCATATGGTAGTTCTATTTTTAGGTTTTTGAGGAACCTCCATACTGTTCTCCATAGTGGCCGCCCCAATTTACATTCCCAACAACAGTGCAAGAGGGTTCCCTTTTCTCCACACCCTCTCCAGCACTTGCCTCTTGTCTTTTTGGTGATAGCCATTCTAACAGGTGTGAGGCGATATCTCACTGTGAAATATCAACAGTTTTCTTTTCTGTTTCTTGTTTTTATTTTTGGTTTTGTTTTGTCCTTTTTAGATCACTTGATTTTATTCTGCTGTCCATGTTTAACATTAGCTGTTTGGTGATAATATAATCTGAGTATAAAGCAGTAAGTTTTTTAAAAGAGATGTTGCTCTTAACTGAATTTTAGTGAATAAGAGTGAGTTTAAAATAGACTTACAAACATGCCAGTCCTGCAGAAGAAAAAAATTAACATAGTAATTTGCTGTATACTTCCATAATTCCATAGTGGAATCTCCAGAAATAATATGTAGAAACAGAAGTTAATTGTAAGTGAATTTCAGTTGCTGGCTCCCAAATGTGTTTTAAAGTTGCTATATAGCACCTGGGCTAGATTGCAGGAAATACACAGTGAAAAGTAGAAGCATTTCTATTATATCTGTATTATCTCAACACTCTTGATGATGGGAAAACCAG